TTTTAGCCCTTCGGAGTCAAATTTACTCAATTTGTCTGCCACATCATTAAATTTAGATATTTCATCTGTACGTCCTGTGTGAGCATCAACGTGCGCTATCTTTACATGTATAGGTGCCTCCGCAAGAAATTTCCAAATATGTATTCCCCATACATCTTTTCCATTAATTTTATAATCAGATTCCTTCCACTTTGCAGACCATATGGCAATACCATTACAAACTGCCCATGAGTCCGAAAAAACGTGTATATACTTTTTCTTTTCATGGATAGATTGTTCAACGGCCAATTTTACTGCACAGAGTTCTGCTAACTGTGCTGAGGCATCCGAGCCTTCCTTCACTAAGATCTTATTATCACTTGGTCGATATGCCGCAGCTTTCCATTTAGTGATATTTCCTACTACTTTACTTGATCCATCTGTGAACCATGCATTTTTATGAGAAGCAACTGCCCCCCATTTTCCAATAGGTTGTGTCTTTGGTTGTTTAACCTCTACCGGTACTTCTACCATAGGCTGAGCAAAAACTAATTCTGATAACCTTAATGTCTTATTATTCCCTGACACTGTTGCATCATTAATTATAGTTAACAAATACCATTTCCATTTCAACACTTTTTGTTCCATGGGTAAACCTCTAAAGTCTTCCTCCTTAGTTCGTACCCAATCCAAAATTGGTATCTGAGTTCTTAATGTAACTACTCTATTAGTTAAAACAAAACCTAGACTCTGTACCGCCGTATAAGCTGTCCACACTGTTTTTTCAAAGAAAGAGTACTTGTTTTCGGAAAAAGGAAATCTTTTGGAGTAAAACCCAACTGGTTTAGTCTGACTATTACTTTTAGTATATATGCCCCAATTTCCAAAGTCATTGGCATATATTATATCAATTATAATTTCTTCACCAGGTTGAGGTACATACAATTGGGTATATGTCTGAACATATTCCTTAGCTAATTCTAATGACTTTTTCTGTTCCGGTCCCCATACAAAGTCCGCAGTTTTCCTGCATACCCTGTGTATTGGAGCCAGGATCATTTGCAAATATGGAATATGTAATCTCCAATATCCCAAAATGCCCATCACCTGCTGAGCCTCTGTCTTGGTTTTTGGTGACTGTAAAGCCAAAATCTTATTTATCACTGCATCCGGAACCTTAGGTCCTTCTGTAGTCCACACCACCCCCAGATACTTAACTGACGTGGCTGGACCCTGAATTTTATCAGGATTGATGGACCATCCTTTTGACTTCAATAATGTAACTACCTCGTCCTTTACCTTATTTAACTCGGTCATATCTTTCCCAGCAATTAATATATCATCTACATATGACCATAACTTAGTAGTTCCTTTATCTTGAAAATCCTTTAACGTTTCTTGTAAAGTTACATGTGCTATAACTGGGCTATTTTTATATCCTTGTGGTAACCTCTTAAACCTATATTGTACTGACTCCCAAGTGAATATAGTCAATTCTCTACTCTTAATATCTAATGGGATAGCGAAAAACATATCACTCAAATCTATAGCACAAAAACAAGTAGGTGAAAAATTTCTAATTTGAGCATAAATGGACTCTACATCTGGGAGAGTACCTGGCATAGAGGGGGTTACTTTATTTATATTCCTATAGTCTACCGTCAATCTCCACTTGCCATTAGGTTTCATAACAGGCCATACTGGACTGTTATATTTAAATGATGATGCCTTTTCTATTATATCTTTTTCCAACATTTCCTTTATTGTGGTGCTAATCTCTTCATGTCCTCCTTTAATAGGATACTGTTTAGTAAATACTGGTGGAGTATGGGGCAATTTTACTGGATCAATCTTTACTTGACTTAAAATTTTTGTTTCAAAACACTTCAATCTCTTCAAAGGTAACCATTCACCATATAATAACCTGAGTTCCTGAATTCCTAATACTCCATGTGGAACTTTGCCTACCAATACTTGTATTGTATAATCCAAATCATATATTTTAAATGTTACCCATTCTTTTCTCATTTCTGCACTATGTCCAGATACTCCTTGTACTATAACCTTTTCCTTAGCTGGTTTATTATTTACAAAATCATCTCTGACTATTGTTACCTCGCTTCCCGTATCTATCAGGAAGGAGTCTGTATATTCTTGATTATCAACTATAAATTTTAATTGTATGAACGGCCGGGTGTCTGGCCGTTTTGCCATCTGGGTGTTCCAAACCTCTGCATTGTTAAACCAAACCTTCTTCTTTGGCCCTGCACCTGACTTCCTCGCGGTACTGGCCTTTGTGGGTTCATTCTCCTTCCTATCTGTCTGTTGTTTACAGCAACATTTCCTTGTGTCCAGGCTTGTCCTGGTCGCACCTTTCTCCAGTCTTTGCCATTTCCCAACATATTTCTGTTTCTTGGGAGGCTCCGCTGGCCAGGCGGGCCTCCCAAACGGAAGTTTTTTGTCTGGTAACATTTAATATTTCCGTTACCATTTGTTGGAAAACAGACTGGGTTTCGGGCTTTAGCTTGAAATGTCATTGCAGCTTGAAATGACATTTTGTGCTCTTGTTGTAATTCTCGATGTTGCTTTAAGAACTCAACTACATCCCATAGGGTGTTGGCTCCAGCTAGCATGGTTGCCAACATCATTCTATGCTGTTCTGGTGCCCCTTTTATAATTATTCTCCTAAGCGCGGCTGTTAAGTGAGCACTTAAAGGGGATCCTTGAAACTGATTATAAATTTTGCTAAAAATAGCTAACTTCTTTACTATCTTAATCCCTTCACTGGGATTCTTCCACTGTACCTGGCCTTCAAAGACACCCCAATCTATATGTGGGATGGCCTCTGCCCAGGCTATTGCAATCCAGTCCCAAAGTGTGCGTACCCTGTCAGGTTCCTCTTGTATAATCTTTGCTAAAGTGTCCGCAACACTCGGATTGTCTATCTGGATATTAACCACCTGCATCTCCTTGCCTGCGAGTCTTATAGACTCGCCTCCCTTACTATGAATTGTAAACAAAAAGTCTCCGTCGGTCTGACCTTTCTGTGAAAAATCTTGCCTTAACTGAACCATTTCAGGTCTAGTTAAGTCCCTAGTTTCAATAACTTGTTCCAACCCATCTGGGCGTCCCCGTCCGGGTGTGGATGTTTTAATTACTGAAACTGGCATGCTGGCCTTATCAGGAGCTTCCAGTTGGTTCAATATATCTTTCAAAAATGGGTTATTACTTCCATTTTTAAGGGCTTCTTTTACTAACCTTTTGCCTCTTAGCCTGTCATCATTTATATCATCTATAATTTTACATAATATTCCCGGGATTTCTTTCTTGTCAGCCCGTTCCATTATGGGCTTGACGGTCTGAGGATTACTTAATGTTACCTCAACTGTGGTTCCTTTCTGGAACTCAGGCATCTTTGCCTGAACAATTCTTTCAATACCTCGCCATGGCGATTGAGATTTTAATTCCTTTTGCTCGAGCTTTAGTTCTCCTATTCTACATTTCTGCCTAAATCTTTTTATTACTTCCTTGAGGCCCATGTTGCTATTTTTAAGAGGATCCTCAGTTTAGCTATATGAATTTTCCAAGCAATAAACCCGTTTGTTTCTATCTTATAAGGTATCTGACTTATTCCCTGATGCCAGCTATATAGTGCCCAATTTTCTATCCTTTCCTTAAGCCACCCCATGCACAGGGACCACCGTCCTCCTAAGGATTTTGGTGGGGGCACTCCCCTTTCATTCCACCTTCAGCCTAGACGCCGGACGATCACGGTCATTCTAGGTTTTCAGTAGAAGAAATTGTGCATTGCCATGTGGGTTATATTTTACCTGCTCCGGAGCTCTTCTTCCGTATCCTGCCGACTACGCCAACTGTCACGAGCAGCTTCTCAGCCTTGTCTGGTTACCAGGAGTTCCCTTCCGGATATCTGCACTGGACCCCGGACCGCAACGTACGCGAACACCAAGCACGAACTCGATTGCCTTTTGAAATGCTGGTTTATTCGCACACCACACAAAGCAATACACGAGGTGACTGGCTCACACTGCACGATCTTACTCTCAGGCGATGAGAGTTGATTGTGAGCAAATACATGGAGTTTCCCTCGCGCTTATATACTCTATCAAACTTGTTTATGTCTAACTTATCTAACATAAGCACACTACCTAGTTACATCATCAACTTATCTAACATGGGCATACTATCTAGTCATCCTATAACCAAAACATGTTTACAACTAAAAAGTCACTTAGTCACTGCAAAGTCCAAAACAAGTCCAAAACAAGTCCTTTTGCTGATTCATGTTGTTTATTCATCCTTGATGTTTACTCCTGTCACCAGATCCCTGCCTTAATTTAGGGAAAGAACCAGTATGGATATAGTGGGGTGTTTTGTGTGTGTGTGTGTGTGTGTGTGTAGAGGCATCTGTTATGGAGCCTAAGATGTACGGGGAACAGGGGCCAGGTGAAGGAACTGGGTGAGTAGGTGGAAAGGACATGTTCAGATGAGGGAGGATGTGTTAACAGAAAGAGCGGAGCCTGTGCTTTAGCATCTTGGTTCTTATTCTCCTTGGAAGAATGTCCTTTGTCATGATCATCTGATGTGAAGGAACATGACACACTGAAGAGGTGGATAGAGGAAGCCTTGTGCCCCCTCTGTATCTGAGTGGGGACAGCATGGGGTATGTAAATGTAAGGAGACACAGCTGATCTGTAGAGAATCTCTCAGAGCCCATGAATATTTCTCTTCTAGTCTTGGGCTTTTATTGAGTATTGGGCAATTGGCTGTCCTAAACAGAGTTCTTATACACAGTATGGAATATTCTGAGTTAAGTAGCACTTTGTCAATAAAGATGTCTTTTTTTTCTTTGTGTTGTTGCCATTTCATAGGTTTAATTATGAAATTATTTTTCTTTCTTCTAAATGACACTTAAATGTTTGGCTGGAATGTATGGCTGTGGACTGACAAAAAGCTGTCCATCAGTCTTCTGTTATCAAAAGTAGTCTCTTCTTTTTTGACAGTTCAAGATGCATCTGTAGGGAATACAGAAGGATCATTCATGAAGGTGTTACAGGCCCGGAAGAAGAACACTAGCACTGAGCTTTCTATTGAGCCTGAAAAGCCAGCTTCAGATAAAAATGGTGTCACCTTTTCGGGATTCTTAAATGAACAGCTAGACTTCAATGATGAAAGTGATGTTATAAGTGCATTAAATTACATATTGCCATATTTCTCAGAGGGAAATCTAGAAGACGTAGAGTCAACATTATTACCATTCATTAAACTGCTTTTTTCAAACGTACAAGATGGAGGTAATGCCATGGAATATTTGAAGAACAATACAAAGAACTCTCTTTCAACTGCATCCAACAATCCAACTTATAAAAACAAATTAAAGAAGCTTCATTTTCTGGAAAATTTGTTAGATGCAGAAATTCAGGAAAAAATTGATGAGGTGAAAAAAAAAGAAAAAACTGTCATGCTTATGCAATCTAGGCTTTTAGGTCCCAAATTTAAACGCCAAATCTTTCAAAAGAAATTGGAAACTGCCCAACCACAGGAAAACAGCCTAGCAGAGATTGAGAGTACAAAGAAAAGGCTGCGGAGAGTAAACAGAGTCATCAAGGGTCCGAAGGGCATACGGAAAAGACACCTCAATGAAATGAGAAAACGGAAACAGAGTGCCTGGGCACTTGCGGAGAATGTTGCCCAAGAAGGCAGGCTCAGGAGACCAATCCCAAGGGAACTAGAGCAGCTTCACAAGGTGCGGAGGAGGCCCAGGAAGTTAGTGGGAAACTCCCTCCTGGACGCTTCATTTACAAATGAACATAAGGCAGCAGTCTCTTCTTTTTTGAAACAATACTCCTTGGGCAAATCTCCCACCTCCTCCATTTCAAAATTACAGCCTGAGATTAGAAACAAAGCAAAAGACTTAACCTACACCCTTTTTGTTTTAGAAGATGCAAATGCTCCAGTTAAAAGCCTGAAGGCTGATAAACCAGTCATGCATTCCAAAAAGACTCACAGCTTTCATAAAACTTACCCTCTTGCAGCCCACAGAATACCCAAGGCCAAAGTGAGTCAAAAGTTCAGAAAGGATTATTTGCACAATAGACTGATGCTTGCAAAGAGGCCCCCATTCTCTGCAATAAGGAGCCTCATAAATTCCCCCCCACGAGGGGCCTCTTCATCTTTAGGAGACCTGAATTCTCAGGAGAATCCTTTCTCAAGATTATATGCTCTTCCAGAACCTATAGAAAGTGTTCCTGCAGAAAACAATACTGCAAAAATTCCTTCTGAAGGAACTATTTCTGAAGCAAACATTACTGTGTTGGATGAACCCACCTCTGAAAATGCAACCTATGAAAACGCTGCTGCAGAGGCTGTAGATTCTGCTGTGACTCCTTTCAACATAATGCCAACTGTTCAACAAACCAATAAGACACAATGGGAATACCTCAACTCGAACACTGACTCACAACCCAAGCCTGAAGACTTATCCTACCCATTGACGGCATCCCCAGGTGATCAGTTTGAAATTCAGCTAAACCAGCATCTTCGGTCCCTCATCCCCAACAATGACGTGAGAAGGCTCATTTCTCATGTTATTCGGACTTTGAAATTGGACTGCTCTGAACCCTATGTGCAACTGGCCTGTGCCAAGCTCATCTCCAGAACAGGCCTCCTGATGAAGCTTCTCAGTGAGCAGCAAGAAATCAAGGGGTCCAAGGCCGAATGGGATACAGACCAGTGGAAAACTGAGAACTATATCAATGAGAGCACAGAAGCCCAGGGTGATAACAAAGAGCATGAGGAGACAAGTGAGGTGAGGGAAACTATTGAACAAGAAGCCCAGACTTTTTCATCATTTAGGGTATACAATTGAAGCATTCAAGCGGGAAGACCAGGGGCTTCTAGTCCACATCTTGTCTTGGCCACATAACTTTGCCCAAGACAGTGATCCCCATTTTGTTCCATTAGAGAATAAAGTGGACTTAACACACAAGATAAACAAATAATAGGAAGAAAAATGTGTGATAATAAGATGTAACATATTAAATTTGGTGTGTTCTTTAAGAAACTGCAAGCTATTCACCTGGAAGAATGGAAATTTTGAATAGTTAACATTCTTTTTCTTTCTTTTAGCTCACAAAAGGAGTCCCGGGATATGGTTTTAACAACAAACTCATCTTGGCAATATCTGTGACTGTAGTGGTGATGAATTTGATTATAATTTTCTGTGTGATTGAGGTAAGGACAACAATCAATTCAGGTTTCCAGAATACATCTTATCATTGTAATAGATTTAGAACGTATACCCTGAAAATCAAAGTTCCTTCCCCACGTACTACTTGACATTTCTCTTCAGTCACTAACACTGAGTTATGCTTTGTTCTTTTATTGAAAAATATATTCTAGGGATTTTTATTTATTTTTTTTTTATTTTACTTTTTGGTACCAGGGATTGAACCCAGGGGTGTTTGAACATTGAGCCACATCTCCAGCCCTTTTTTGTATTTTACTTAGAGACAGGGTCTCACTGAGTTGCTTAGTACCTCGATAAATTGATGAGGCTGGCTTTGAACTCACAATCCTTTTGCCTCAGCCTCCCAAGCAGCTGGGATTATAAGTGTGCTTCACAGTGCCCAGCCCCAGAGACTTTTAAAGGAACTTCATTTCCAGGGAATCTTTGAGAAATTGAAACCAAGAGAACAAGCTATAATTTCTTAAGAAATTAAGACTAATATGGCCAGAGATGTCATCGCAGCAAAATTTGTCCAACCCAAAACCATGTCCACAATTTGTTATTCTCATTTTTGTAAAGTTTTGATGTACTTTCATTCTACCACTGATTTCTTTCCTTGTTACTGAAATGACAAGAAATGACTTCACTCTCAAGCAGCAGTCATCACCCTGGGGTAAAAGGAGAGGGCTAAAAGATAAAAGTGCTATATGTAGACTCAGTGGATCCACACAGCTTCCTCCTCCTCCAGTGTGAGGTATTGTCTAAGTAGGTGTTCAGGTAAAGCACTGCAGCTAAATTCTCATCAGGCTACTCCAGAGCAGGTCCTAGTGATAATAGTATATTCCTGGCTCTGGCTTCTGTTTACCTTCTGTTTGCTTACATGATGGTTTATTACTTTTCTCAATAGGTTGTCAATGGACATTTATTTATTTATTTGTTTGTTTGTTTGTTTGTTTGTTTGTATGTGTTGCTGAGAATCTAACACAGTGCCAGTACTAACATCACACCACTTAATTCCAGTTGCTTTATAACATATTTCAAGCTATGTATTTGGTAGGGCAAGCTCCTGCTCTCCTGATCATTTCGTACATTTCATCACTATTCTTATATATTTTCTCTGCCAAAAGAAAAACAAAATAAAAACAAAAACAAACAAACAAACAAAAAAACTGTCTTTGAATTTGAATAGGACTAGATTGAATTTGAAAATGAATTTGCGAATTAACATCTTTACAACATTCTGGGAACATGTAATCTCATGCCATATATTCATTTCTTCTTAATGTGCATTTATTTATTTATTTATTTATTTATTTATTTATTTATTGTGGTGCTAGGGATTGAACTCAGGGGCACTCCACCACCGAACTGCACTCCCAGTCTTTTTTATTTTTATTTTTTAAAAGGAAGCATTTCCTTCCATATTTTATTTTTATGCGGTAAACCAAGTGCCTCACGCATGGTAGGCAAGTGCTCTACCACTGAGCTACAATAAAAAAAATTTAAAAAATATTTTTTATTTTAAGACAGGGTATTTCAAAGTTACCCAGGCTGGCCTTAAACTTGATCTTCTTGCCTTAATATCTACTGCTGGGAATATAAGTGTGTGCCACCACATCCAGCTGAATTTTAGTATTTTCACTACATAGATTTTTTTAATTGGATCTTTTTAGTTATACATGACAGTAGAATCCATTTTGATATATAGTTTCAGTTCCTTTCCCCATTTATGCCCTCATTTATTTTTCATACTGCATTGATTAAGACCTCCTCAATGAGGTTGAACAGCAGCAATAACAGGCATCCTAATCTTATTCTTGATTTTAAAACGACACTGTTGTTTAAAGTTCTGGCAGACATGTTTATCAAGTTAAGTAGTTCTTTCTTTTTCTACTATTAAGTGTTTTTATTAGGAATTATCTGTTGGATTTTATCTAAAACAGTCAATAAAATATATTAAGTGCCAGCTGCATGCAAGACCCTAAGCTAGGTACTATGGAAGAGTCAGAGAACCATTAAAAGGATAGAATTCCTGCCCTCAGAAAAGTTATTATCTCACTGGGTAGATAAGACTTAAAAATAAATATAAGGAATGAATAGAGACTTGGAGATTAGTGGTCATTGTGATACTTATGACAGTATTTTCTTCCAAAACAGATTTATTCCCATAAAACAGCATCACAAGATGATGAAGAAAAGTCCTTAAGGTAAATATGAGCCTGGCAGTATTTAAATGAGAATTTTATTTTATTTTTAATATTTATTTTTTAGTTGGACACAATATCTTTATTTATTTTTACGTGGTGCTGAGGATCGAACCCAGGATCGCACATGCTAGGCGAGCGCTCTACCGCTGAGCCACAACCCCAGCCCCTAAATGAGAATTTTAGAACTCATCTATTTCAATCTTAACAGTGAGGAAACTGCTAAAGGCAGGAAGAATACTTCCTCTCATGTCTCCCCTGGCTCCAGGAAAACTAGTTTCCCAGCCTGCTGAGGTCAAAGGCACTAGCAGGGATGCATCTGCTGTCTCCAGTCCTTAAGGAAAGAGAGTGGAGGGCAAGAGGTTTGGGCTGTGCCTGCTCCCACTGTTCACGTGCATCAGACTCAGCTGGAGCCCTTCTTTGAGGCTTTCAGGGACAGGGAAGACCTTGGGTCATTAGCGTGCTGTGCTATTCCCCTTCCAGGCTGGCGGAAGTAGAAGTAGAATGTATGAGTCCTTCCTCCAGGTGGTAGGAAAACTTTACCTTCTTGCCTTACTGGTCACCTTCTCACCCCCACTCTCTATTCCTTTTACCTAGATTTCATAGAATTTTAACAGGGAGCTTAGAAATAGTAGTTTGTCTCTTCCTTTTATAATAAGAAACGGAGAATAAGAAAGGGAAAATATCTTACCCTGTGGTCACAGTTAGTGTCAGAAAATGGTTCCTTTCCAGCTAGGTACTTCTCCATTAATTATACCCACACTTGGGCTGTGAGCAACATTTGATATTGTGAATTAGTAGACACATTTCAATGTAAACATCAGCAATGTTTGAAACAATGCACAGGTTTTTTTTTCCTATTGTTTTTTGTTATGTATATGTCTAAACTGATTTTACAACTCAATCATAAGTGACAGCCTGCAATATGGAAATCAGTGAGCTAGACAACTTTACTAATTGGACTTTGGTATTTACTTGATGTAATTCAACTTGTAGGATAAAGCAGCTAGGAAATAGAAACACCTTCTCCCTCAAGAGCCACCCTGCTCCCCACCCCAAAATGATGATACATGTTGAGATTTAAGTCCAAAGAGGACTGATGTGAAAGGCTCTGGAGAGAGTAAAACACTTCAGCCCAGTATGGTTGTGTACTGTACAAGGTACTTAGCCAAGAGGGTAAGCAGAGTTGCTAATCCTGCCTATGCTCATGTGGCTCTTTGGGAACATACATAGAGAGTTCTGGCAGCCCAGCATGCAGGGAATTGTTTTTAGGACCCCAGGTCTAGCATGATTTTGCTCATTGTGCTTATGAACTAAGGTATAGGCTTTGTCCTAAAAAGACCAAAGGTGCACATTACAAAAAGACATGAAAAATGGCATCCATCACTAATTGTCTTGTGCATGTGTTTCCCCCCAGGAGCTGTTTTGGGTTTCTGTGTAGGAGAAGCTCAATGGAAAGTGAAAATCAGGTAAATCTGAAGAGAACCCAGTGCTGTGGCCAGGGAAGGCAGCGGGAAGCAGAATTAATGTTCCACTTTCTGTTTTCTAGGAGGGCTTTTTCTGGTTAAGGCGGCCACTTTGGCGTAGAGATACGTACAGACCTCTCAATGCCACACGTAAGAAAAACATGGCACAGAAGCTACATGACAAGGACTCCTCTGATGAGGATGAGATTTTCAATAAGGATGCTGGGTAAGTGACTGGGGGGTGATATAAAATTCTCAAGTGAAGAGGTAAGGAAAAGCTTAATTGCTCCTTTCAAGAGTAACAACCTTGGCTTTGTTCTTCTCCCAGGGATGAAGCCCCATCACAGACCTCTGCTCCTACTGAGGGCGGAGAGTAAATCTGTCTTGCCTCAAGCGACTGGCAAATTTTATTTTCTAATATTGGCTTCTCATCAGTGCTTGTAAAATACTTTTTTTTCTCATATTAAAAGGTACAAAATTCACAACCAATCCTAGCCATGTGGTAAAAAGTAACATGTAAATAGTTAAATGTGTGTATATAAACAACAAGGGCATAGGCAAGTAGAGCTGGTCTAGAGCTAGAATCCTCTATGGCAGCCATGCTTCTGTAAGAGGCAGTGTGTGCAGAGTTGGAAAGAGCTTCTAGGCCTCATGCCCCAGTGTAAATAATCATCTTTCAGAGGGCCAGAAAACACATCATCTTCAAGGAGTGTGGATTTCTAAATAAAATACCAGTTGTTCTGGTGCGCTCTTTCTGGTTCAAGAACCAATCGTTTGAAACTTAGTTGACCTCATGCCCATGAAGATCTTCCACCTTCTGGCCCCTCTCATCAGGTATTGGGGTTGCCAGAATATTTGAATCATTGAACTTGCTGCACTGTGGGGCCAAGCTGTGCTTTTCTTCCCAAGCCTTCAAATCATGTGCAAACATATACCCTGTCTTCGTAGGGGATTCTCCACCCTTTAAAAGCTGGTAGAAAATTAATATTGGTTTATTGGTTTTTCATTTTTAAAGTGTTGACCCTTGGACATCTAGCAGGATAGGGTAAAGAACATGCTAGAGCAGTAATTTCCCTAGATTTTCCTCCTTGAGCTTTTATTTTGGAAAACATGTATAAAGCTACTCCGTTAACCGAGTTGTGATGCCTTCCCCTCCCCGGTCACCAAGAAAAGGAATAAAATTATAAGTGGTCCCCCCTTCTCCACAGGTGTTAGTTAGGATGGCCTCAAAATACTGTTTTCCTTGATTATTAACACAAATTGAGGCTGATGTATAACAGGAGATGTGCATCGCTGGGGTGTAATGACAAGTGGCGGAACAGCTTCCAAGAGTCTCGGTCGGATTAGGGACAACAAGTCCGGGCTTATTAACACATACCCATTTTGGTTGCTTAAATCCTCCGATGTTTTGATTGAGTTCAGCCGCCATATAGGCTACATTAGTCCCACAATCAACGCTCTGGGTATAACCAGAGGGGGCCGAGTGCCGGGGCCCTCCCTTACACTCACAAGGGGCTCCAAAAAGATATTCATGAATATTCCCAGGTGGGGGGTCAAGCCCTCCTTCAACAAACCTGTCCAGAAGGTAATGCCACAAGTGGGGTCCAGCTCATGAGGTGTGTCTCGGCACTCACTTGAAGGGGTGAGAACAACAGCGGCAGGATCAGCCATCTTGGGAACTTCATTTTGTCTTGAATTTTCATTCACCGGTCTGGTGCAGCGCTCCGGGATCCAAATGGGTTTTTCCGTCCCTGGAGGGAAGACACATACAGCTCCTCTCACTCTAGCCAAGAGTGGAGCAGGGGGTTGCCACTTCCCTGTAGCCAGATCCTTCCATCTTATCTGTGCTTTTTGTATGGTGGGAGGGGAAAAGTGACGCTGCGCCACTGTACAGCCTTCGGCGTCAGTGAGCAAAAAATTTAAAGTGAATAGAGTTATATTTAATAGTGCATGTGGTCCCTGACAACTCTGGTATATCTCCCCCTCTTTTGTTTTTTGCAAATAGGTTTTAAGATGTTGATGGGCCTGTTCAACAATGGCCTGTCCTTGGGGGTTATATGGGATTCCTGTTTTGTGTATAATATCCCACTGTGAGCAAAATTTTTGGAAGGTTTGACTAATATAAGCTGGGCCATTATCTGTTTTTATACATCGAGGGGTTCCCATAAAGGAAAAGGTTTTAACATAGTGCTCTATCACGTCCTTAGCCTTTTCTCCTGAATGTAAAGTAGCGGAGATAAAACCAGAGAACGTGTCTATACTGACATGCACAAAAGACAGTTTTCCAAAACTAGGAATATGAGTTACATCAGTTTGCCAGATGTCGTTTGGCTGAAGGCCCCTTGGGTTGACTCCCAGAGAAGGGGAATGGATAAAAGGTGCACAAGTAGGACATAGGGAGACAATTTTTAAAGCTTGATCCCGGGAACATCCTGAGCGGAAGCGCAAAGTTTGTGCGTTTAGGTGAAATTTATTATGAAGTTGTAGGGCCTTATCATAGTCAGTTATTGTATATATAAAATTAGTGGCATGTGTGGCAGCGTCTGCCATGGCGTTGCCCACCGCCAGAGGACCTGGAAGTCCGGAATGACTTCTAATGTGACCTATGAAGAGGGGGTCTGCCCTAGCCCATATAAGAAGCTGCACTGTTTGTAGTTGATCCATGATAGTGGATTGTTTTCCAATATAAGGTGCCGTCTCAATTGCGGAGGCGAGCCTGGCGGTATAGAGACTGTGAAAACATTAAGGGGCACCGAGCTATAGGTCTGTAAGGCCAATATTAAGGCTGCAACCTCCGCTTTTTGGGCCGAACAATCGGCCACTCTCTTGCGGATGACTTGGGTCCCATCTGAAATGACAGCAAACCCATTTTTGGCCCTGTCAGTGAAGACGGTTTGTGCCCCCTGGAGAGGATCCTTTTTTAGGATCTTTGGGAAAATTATTGGACATGTCTTTAGGCTTTCAAGGAGCCTGCTTTTAGGGTAGTGATTTGCCGCAGTCTGGCTGGGCACAAATGCCGCAGTCTGGCTGGGCACACAATCACGAGCCACCACACAGCTTGTAGATTCAAACAGCAACTCTTTATTCCCGAACTCACACCGGCACTCTACAAACATGTTCTGGGGAACTCCACGTTCTCTGCCCAAATCCACATTCTCTGCCCAAATCCACCTCCACTGGGCTTCTGTCTCCCAAAAAATACTGTCTAAATCCCGTGAGAACTCAAGGGGAACTCAAGCAGCAGGATACGCCCTATTCCCAGCAGGAATAATCTTAAACCTTAAACCTGGAACCTAAACCAGGAATGCCCTAAACCCGATTATCTTAAACCGGGAACACCCTAATCCGCCTTGGTCCTTGAGCAAGGTCACCTACATTCAATGTCACTGCAACATGGGGTACGCTGGCAAGGAAATTGTCATACCTACTTGTCTAATGGCTCCCAGCAGTGATTGTCAACCTGTCCCATGAAACTACAGAAGAAAAGACACCAGAGATCATGTTCCTGTCTTAATTTAGAAAGAATGTCTTGATTATATGGTAATATGAGAACATCAAAAGTTTTCCCAAACAAGGCATCTCCTAGATATTTTGCTTTCCAAACTAATTGTATTACCAGATCATGGAAAGGTATCAAGACCCAGGAGGGGGATGCAGGTAAGTGAACCCAATAAATAGGACCAGTCTGCCAAAAGACTTCAGTCGGGGTGAGTTTTGATGGCAGAACAATGAATAACAAGGACTGGGAGTAGTCCACCTGCATCACCTGCATCTCTTGTAAGGCTGTCTCTATCAATCTAAGCACCTTCAAGGCTTCTGGAGTAGGTTTTTGCGGGGAGGTGGGTGAGGGGTCTCCTCTCAAAAGGTCATACAGGGGTTTAAGTTCACCAGTAGGGACATGGAGGGAAGGCCGCAGCCATTGGATTTCCCCCAGAAATGTCTGCCATTGGTGCAGGGTTTTGAGCTGGTTCACCTGAAATTGAGGCCTCTGGGGAGTGATCCCTACCTTGTTAATAGTATATCCTAGGTAGTTATAAGGATACTGAATCTGCACCTTCTCTGGGGCTATAATCAGTCCGGCCCCCTTTAACAGGGACTGGAGGACTTCATAAGACTGGAAAAGTGCTTTCCTATCAGGGCCTGCCAACAATATACCATCCATATAATGCACGAGGTAAAAGTTTGGGAATTGTTGCCTAAAGGGTTGCAGAATTTTTGCTATAAAGTACTGACACATAGTAGGGCTATTGGCCATTCCTTGAGGTAAGACAATCCATTCAAACCGCTGATAGGGTTCCCTGAAATTTATTGACAGTAAAGAGAAAGCAAAACATTTGCGATCCTGGGGGGCCAGGGGAATAGAAAAGAAGCAATCTTTTAGGTCCAAAATAATAAGATGCCAATCTTTAGGGATAGCCGTGGGGAAGGGTAGTCCTGGCTGTAAAGGTCCCATGGGCTGCATGGTACTATTAATAGCCCACAGGTCTTGGAGAAGCCTCCATTTTCCAGACCCCTTTCTTATGACAAAAATAGGAGTGTTCCAGGGGGAAGTGGAAGGCACTACATGCCCCACCCCAAGCTGTTCCTGAACCAGAAGGGTCGCGGCCTGCAATTTGTCCTTAGTTAGGGGCCACTGTTCTATCCACACAGGGTCATCTGATAACCAAGTAATAGATAGAGGACGTGGCCACATTTCAGTGGCCCCTAGGATAAAGTTCCTAGCCCCCTCCGATCTCCTCCACTTCTGGTAATTTCTTCTGTAGGGTCCACAGGCGTTGCCCTTCCCTCATGTCTTTTCCCCAGTCCTTTTCCGGGGAGCCATCCCATATCTAACATCATGTCATTAACAAATTTATTACTCCCTTTTAGGGTCTGAGTGGTGAGGATAGCTCCCATTTGTTGAAGTAGGTCCCTTCCCCAAAGGTTTGTGGGGAGTCCAGCCACTACATAAGGCTGAAAATAACCACTGTTTCCTTCCTCATCTCTCCATTTTAGAAAGGAGGCACTTTTTTCTGGTCTTGTCTGCCCAATCCCCTGTAATACAGCTGAGGGATCTTGGAGAGGCCAAGCAGATGGCCATTGTTTCTTAGAGATAACAGAGATATCAGCTCCTGAATCTAATATCCCCTTGAAGATTTTATCCTGTATTTTAATGGTTAACTGTGGTTGGGAGTCCAAGTGTTGGCAGCAGGTCCACCCTGGCCCCTGGAGCCCTACCTCCACTAGTTTGTTCTGCATGCCAGTGTGGCCAGCTCACAAGGCCATGGCGAACTTGCGGTTTTTCTGTTCCTGCTTGTCCGTCTGAGACATATGTATCCCACAGGAATGCCTTCACCTTTTCTGGTCTGATGGACTTATTGTTAAGGGAGGTTTCGGTACCTGACAATAATAGATGTTGAAACTAAATTTCTCCCCCCTCCCTCCTGCTTTTGGGTAGTTTTCCACTTCTGCTGCTTGGGGTATAAAAAAAGGTGTGTTAGCAATAAAGATTATTGACTCCTGGATGAAGAACCTTGGTGTCCTGTGTGTCTTTTAACCTCGCCGTCCCTCGCCGGACTCGGCTCCCTTGGCCGGATGCGGCAATCAAGTGTGCTACCCAAAAGGTTTGAGGGGTGCCGGTGGAACCAAAACTGCCATTACCCCGGGCTGCCTGTAGGGCGCGGCTGGGTAGGGACGCCGCCGACAGCAGCAATAATTGTGCTATGCGTTCTCCGGGAGGAATAATAACGATCCCTTGGGTAGCCTCGGCAACAATTTTTAACTCCC